TCTGGGATGCCCTGAACACTTTGAGCAGAAGCTGTTGTGTATCAGAGAGCTCACCCTTCGTTTTTTATTTTACAATGAAGACTGCTTGAAGAATAATAGTTTGTCTCAACTGAGAATGAACGTGTTGACCTTTAAAACAGGTAATTTCTCCCATTCCTAAAGCTGTTATGTTTGTGTCTTGCCCCAGGTACTGTCTCCCCAGAATGTCAGTTTGAGAAGTTGCCTTGATCTTCAAAGCCCCCTGAGCTGCAGCTGAAGTCGTGGCTTGTTCTGTGTGACCCGCCCGAGGGGACTGTGTTCTTCTGGAAGTAACTCAGGCGGGCAGAAGCAGTTCCTGTGGCAGCTGGGTTTGCTGCCTTGCACCTTCCATTGGAGACTGCACTTGTAAAACGTGCTTTGGATCTGACCTGCTCACAAGTGGAAAAAATTATGCCGAACCAATGGAAGCAGGGTGAGTAAAGTCCAGGTTGTAGAACTAATGGCCTGAGTGTGAAAAGCAGAAGCAATGAGGGCGTGAGCATGCAGAAGTATTACAGCAATGCTAAGCTCTCAGCCGGGCTCGGGAATGCATTCACAGAAAGAGACGGCTTGCAGTCAAAATAAGTTGGGCTGGTAGAGTAGGGAGAAGAAGTTGAGGAGGTCAAGAGCGAAATGGGTCTTCCTCCCCTGGTATTCTGATTTCCAGGTCAGTATTTTATACTGTAGGTAGATGACAGTGGGGCAACTGGGTGCATTCGCCTCCAGATTTGGTAGAAGTCGCTTTCCTGTTCTTGCTGCTCTGTTACTGCAAGGTAACACGGGATGGGCACGTCCTGTCTGGTGTGCTGCTGCTCAGCACCCTCCTTCCTCTTCTGATGATGACCCACCTTGGAAAGTTTCATTCTTCTGCCAGCAATTAGGAATTGCATGGTTCAGTCATCCCTGTGCAGCGATTACTTTTGTACTGCAGTAATGTGTGTAGGATGTGTAAATAGTGTGTGAGCCTGCTCGCGTTGCTCAGCTGCGCAGCTCGGAACCGTGCAGAAAGCCATCAGAGTGCTGTGAGCGTGACATACTCCTGCTGCAGCGAACCGTTAATTACGGGCCTAGCCGTGTCTCGGTGGTTGGCCAGGTAGTTTTAGGTTTGGTTTTTTTAACACAACACTCCTTTTATGGTGTTGTGGCATCTGTGGCCACTTGTCTTTCTGTGGCATAGTCCACTGCCTTCTGACTTTTGCAGATCAAGTTGAGTAGTCACGCTGTCAGCTGAGAGCTGTCACCAATCCTTGGCCTTTGTGGTTTGGGCTCAAAGCAGGACACAAAATAGGCCCCGGCACACGCACTCAGCAGTTCTCCGCTCCGGGGGTGGTGAGGAAATATCAGCCTTTGTAGCGCTGATGATGCCATTAATCCTGTCAGGATTCCCAGGGCTCAGAGTGGGGGTGGTGAGGAAATATCGGCCTTTGTAGCGCTGATGATGCCACTAATCCTGTCAGGATTCCCAGGGCTCAGAGCAGAAGAAGGCGCAGCAGGGTGAACAGCTTTGGTGTTTGAAGGCAGTGCTGAAGGCTGTGTGTGCGGTATCATAGCTGCTCACCAGAGGGCAGTGTTACACGTTGCAAAGTATAATTGTAACGGAACAATGCTGGAAGAGATTTCTTACAGAGATTTCTTTCTCTGTGTGCTGGGAATAGATTGGGCTTGAGGTTATGAAACAATTTCCTAGAACTCGGGAGCCATCCAGTCAAGGTGGTTTAACAGACAGCATGGCTCAAATTGCTGGCTGCAGACCCTGTCTTGTAACATCTCTGAAGGGCAGTGCTGACTGTCTTGCTTCTGCATGCACTTTGTGGGAGGTGGAGGCTGCTGAGTAGGTAGGACAGGGAGATAAGGAAGAGTCTCCAGCTAAAAAAAAAAGGAAATTTTTGCACATCAAAACTCTTGCAGTTGGTGGTGGGATGCACAGCAGTGAAGGCAAGGGATGAAAGCAAAGGGGGCACGGGGCCCTGAACAGAGGGGATATAGGATGAGTATACACTGGGTGACGGGCCTGGCAGCAGAAAGAATAAGGGTAGTTGGGGTAAATACTGCTCATAGCACCGCTGCTTCTGCCTGCTCCGATATCAGAGCTCTCAGCAGAGGGCAGGACTGTTGCTGTGTGTCTATCGCTGTTCCATCAGCCGTCCCTTCGTGCAAGGGACAGAAGCTCCCACATAGAGCAAGGAGTGTGAAATGAAAGATAAGGAGGCTGGGTTATGCAAAAGGAAGTGAGCTTCAGCTTTTGCGACCATCTTTACGCAAGCGGGGATCGTGGCAGTTGGTGTGCAGCACCGTGCAGCCTCACAGGACAGCAGCTAGCTTGGTTGCTGCTCTTGGTGTCGGGGTCTTTTTGTAAATTTATTGTTTTGTCCCCTAGGGAAAGCTGACCTGGAGTGACAAGCAAGTAAAGCTGTGGCAAGATTCTTGCTTACTTTAGGTTTGTTGATGAGAAAAAGCTGTTGAATATCCAGGTCCGAGAGAATGCAGGACAGGAGCAGCCTTTCTGTGGCCCCCCGGTTCCTGCAGGAAGCGGGCATGGTTCATGAAGCTATGATAACTGGTAAATAACCAGACGGGCCACTGGAACCGGTAGCTGTGGCTGCCTGATGTCATCTGTGGGCCTTCTGCCCTTGGCAGTACCAGGTGGCAAAGCTCATCCCACCTTTTTCTTCTTCCCTGCTGTGACCTCCAAGGCCTGCTTTTAGTCCTTCCTGTGGTGCAGAGGGCAGGAGGCCTGCAGCGCTTCTGAGCAAGGCCAATGCTCTTTATCCTTTTCACAGCTGCTCCCTAAGTTAACGTTAAGCAGCCCTGAAGCTGCTCTGGCGTTGCAGAAGGGATCAGGTGAGAGCAGAGAAAACTTTCAGCCCTCAGTGCAGCCTCTTGTGCTCCCATGGCCTTTCTCCATACGTACCTAGGCCTCGGGCTCTGTTCCTAAGCTGCTTGCAAGAAGAGCACAGAGAACCAAACCCACCCAGCAGTGCCTGGTGTTTCACTGGCATTCATGCCAAGTCCCAGGCTGTTGCTGTCGTCCCTCAGTGCTTCCAGCTCAGCCTTCGGGCTCTGGTCAGACACTGGCATCTGCTGCTCTGCTGCTCGGGCGTCACAGTGGTCTCTGAGTGGGGGGGTCCTGGCGATGCTGTCTTGGTTGGGCCCAGGGTACCCCAGTGCTCTGTCAGCTGGCTGCCCGAGAAGCACGCGGCGCTGACGCACATGCAGAGGAAGCTTAATAGCACGAGTGTGGCTTGGCTGCGAGACCGGAGGGGATGGATTCCCATGTCCCTAGTCGCAGCCCTGGCACTGAGCAAGCACAGCTACGGGTAAGCCGCCTCAGTTTGCTGCCCTCGTAAAACAGAACTAACAGCCTTAGCTTGGGTCGCCAGTTCTTGGAAAGTACGGTGCCTTGCAAGATGTATTAGTAAATGCAGAAGACTCGTCGGTAGCTGGAAGTGTAGAAGCTCCCTCAGTCCCAGTTTGTCAGGCCGATAAACCCTTGAAACAAATGTGCAAAGGATGTTAGGTTTGTTCAGGCCTTCTGCTGTAATTGCTGCCATCTTTGTTTTTTACAGCTAGAGCACTTGCTGCATGTCCACTTGATCTCTCCTGCCTCATGCCACGAACGTTTGAGAATGCCCTTAGGATTCCTTCAGTCAGCCCTTCTCCCGGCTGTCCAGTCTGCTTTAAAGTGCTGGCCTCACCAAACTGGGTAAGTCAGGGTGGGAAAGAAGCAACCAAAGCATGCAGCTGGCTCCCTTTGGACAGGGGGGGTTTCTTTGCCCACCCTTCTCGGAGAAGCTGCACTCCTTTTGGCATCATCTTGTCCCTCTTGAGCCGTGGCAAGTGCAACACCTTGACTTTTGCAGGAGACAACAAGGATGAAATCCCACCATGTGGCTGGGAATCCTGTTACAGCAAGCGTAGCACAGTTATCTCCACTTCTAATTAGTTGTGGGGCTCTGCCCTTTTGACTAAAATTAACCTTGCCTGTGTCAGTCCTTTTCACAAGCCACTCTCCTCCTGGTTAGCCAGCGCACCTCTGCCACCAGAGCTCCTTTTCTCCTCTGCTGTCCACACACAATTCCTTCGATCCAAGGTCAGGAGCAGGGACTCGCTTTTGCCCTGTTTGCCGTTAACCTTCTGTTCTGCTTTCCGTCACTCCCCTGCAGCTTCATCGTTGTAATCCCCACCTGGCACGTCTCTCCCGTCCTGCATTCCCACAGGATCTGCAGTAGACCCAAGTGAATCTGGAGAATATTGCAGTTCCTAGGGACTCTTGTGAATGTTTTCTTTTGTCTGCCTGTGGAATTTCCATCTGCTCTGCTGGTCTGTGTCACTTTTCAGGTTGACATTCAGAAGAACCCGTAAAAGAAAAGAAAAAAGGTAAAAGATTGGACAGTGCAGTAAATGGCCCCAGAAATGGAGTCTGTAGAGAGCAAGGAGTGCGTTTATTTTACGTGGTATTTGGCCTGTCGCATGAAGGGGGCAGTCTGCTTGTAGCCAAAGCCTGAGCTGTTCTGTAACCACATCTGCTGAAGTCGTTTGAGTGTCGGCTGGCCATGCCTGCACTTCGTCAAAGAGAACATTTAAGGAAGTTCAGCTGCGGAAGTGCTACGAACCTTGCGCTTCACAAGTACAACTCCGAGGAGCGGGTCCCTCCTGGAGAGACGGCGTGCGTGCGTGACTGCCCACACGGGCATCTCAACCCATCGCAAGCTCTCCTCTGGGTGACCTTGGGCTGAGCGCCGCGTGCTTGCTTGGAGAGCTGTTGATTTACAATGCAGATTCATCGGTCCTTGCCTGCCTGTCCCTGCCCCTCCTAAATTTGGCTGGGATATAAGAGGCTGTTTGCTTTCTGATGCCAACAGTGGCAATGGCAGAGCGCCCTGCCATGTGAGAGGCAGAGATAGAGGAGAGGGGGCCGAGGAGGAGCAAACTGTGCAGCCGCTGTTGCTTCTGGTAGCTGAGGAGCACGTCTGCGGGGCAGAATGTCCATGCTTACCCCTGTCCTGCAGCCCCCGGAGGTGAAGGAGTATCTGTCCAAGGGCGAGCGCTTCATCAAATGGGATGATGTGAGTACTGGGGTTTTTGCTTCGCTAGATTGTACGCGTGGTGGCAGGGCAGATACCATATTTTCGTTGGGGTTGGTGGAGGGGGTGGGATGATGTGTGTCGTACCTGAGAGCAGTAGTTTCTGGATAGGGAGAGTGAACAGAGAAGAACAGGAGAGCTGAAGGCTGAAGACAAGGGGCACATGTGTTAGGTTCTGCACCTCGTATTGCTGGGGAGGCTGGAAGTGAATGGAGCATGCCCCTGGGTCTGCGTGCGCAGCTTCTCCGGCGTAGGACCCCGGGGTCCTGGCTGTGTTTGTGGACCAGCCCTCGGGAGGGCCGTCGCTGCTGGGAGCCTGCCTGGGGCGAGGGGCACACACGGCAGTCGGGCTTGTCCGGAGGAGTGTGAGGAGCAGGGTTTACTCCAGAGCTGAGCGGGCTCTCCGTGCTTTGCAGATAGAGAGGAAATCAGGCTCCCAGCTGCTTCCCCTTATGGCTCTGCTGCTGGAGTAGAGCAGAGGGTGAGCCATGTCCTCCCTCACCTGTCCGGCTTGTGGGTCTGTGAGCTACCAAGTGCGTAGCAGCCGAGCAGCAAGGGGCCTGTGCTTTAACAGTGCCGGAGCCTAGGAGCGTGCTGCAGAAAGCTGCTTCTCTCTCCAGCTTGGTGTCCTCTTGTATCGACAACACACCCGGTTTGCAGTCTCTGTTTGCCTTTCGTTGTGAGGGAACGAGTGTGTGGAACAGCAGAAGAGGAGAAGTTAATTTGAATGTAATAGTGCCCCTCCTCACTTTCTAGGAAGGCAAAAGAGTATTTACCCCAATACCCGCGTGCCTGAGCAAGGGCACAGCAGCTGCCCATCCCGTTTTGTCTGGGGTAGGAATTGTCTGCTATTGAGCATGAATGTTGGTAAAACAGAGGGCAAGCCAGGTTATGATTATTCACCAAGATCTGGGAGAAACATTTGATGTGGTATTGCAAATGAGACGCGCTAGAAGGGGCCTCCAGCAGCAGCGCAGGAGGGATGAGGGCTTACTTTTGTGGGCGTAAAGCTGGAACAGAGTTTGAAGTCCCAAGGCAGCGTATGTGGCGGAGGCAGATCGCTTGCGTGTGCCGTAAGCAGGAGTGGTCCAGCAGCACTGAGAAGTGAGAAAGCAGTGGAGTAAGCAGCTGGCAGAGAGGATGGATGCTGGGGAGTACAGGTTGGAATATCCCTGGGCAGTTACTCCACTAGCTGTACCTAAACAGAAGGGTGACACCAGGGTATGGTGAAAGCACAGCCTTCCCTTGCTTTCCAAGGGGGCCACTGCCTGCAGAATGCACTTGTGGCTTTGAATTTGAACAGGGTTTTGGTTTCTGAGAATAAGAGTAGCCAAACTTGTCTGAAATTGCTGCTGACATTCTATGCTCAGTCCTTGGGGACCACTTTCCTGAAAACCCGAAGCTGTTAAGTACTTCACTAGGAATTCCTGGGATAGTTGGGCTCCCTTGAAATCTAAGGTGAGTCAGGTTGGGCTTCTGAGACCCACCAAGTGTTTATTTGCTGCTGCAACCATAGAAGTTAGCGAGCTCAAGTCCTCTGTGGATTTTTTCCTACGGTTTACAGATTTGTAAGCATTCCTAAAAGGTTACCTCTAATTACTAAGCAGTTCACAGACTTGAGCTCCGACAGTAGTGAAAGCCTTCTCCACAAGCGAGCTGCTCTGGTCACGTCGCCCCATCTCATCCTGCTTTCCCACTCCACAGTTAGAGCAGCCTGCAAAGGGTGATGGCAAGAGCTCGGGGCTGCAGGATTAATGTTCTTAGAGGTCATGGGCCTGCGGTTTTTTGTCTGACTCTGAATTGACCTGGCCATGCTGCTGGTAACAGTTTTGAACTCCTTCCGCCATATCTAAGGCAAAGGAATGAAGGTAGATCAGGTTTCCTCGTGACATCACTCTGCAGAGTCTGGGACTGGACCAGAGCCTTCACCGTACCCAACAGTTCCCTGAGAAAAGCAAAACCATAGTTTTTGTGTAGTGCCTTCACCTTGTCCGGTGTTTGTAATGTATTCTGTAGAGGACAGTGCAGGAGGAGCCCTGACAGGCAGGACTGTGCTGACTTGTCCACTGAGTTGGCTGCAACATCTTGGGGTTATGCTCCGTTTAGCATCCAGCGAGCTGGGACTGCCAAGCAGACTAAAGAGGTGAAGTCCTACTACATGGATGATATTTTATGTCAACAACCAGCCTGGGAACCCTTGCAAAACCTCAGGTAGGGCACCGTGTAGTAGCTGACCTCTTCAGCAGAGCAGACGCATGTGAATTTGGCTCTGTGCTGACTCTTCGCCCTCATGGTAGAAGCAAAAATGTTTCTCTCTCTTCAAGATCATGGATTACAGGGTTTTACCAGACGATGTCTGCTTTCTGCCCTAGAGTTGAACTCCACAGAGCGAACAGCAGGCAGTTTGGCTGCCAGACCACCTTCGCCATCTCCTTTGTTGCAAGGAGCCACCCCTAGGAAAGTCCTGCGCCCCGTGGCCGTCCGCGTCCCTGATCGGGAGGGCAGCTCTCAGCGGTCCTCATTGCAGCCTCAGCTAGCTTTCATGAAAGCTGCTTTGTAGGAGATAATCTAGGAACATGGCTCAGTGCTCAGTAGCAGTACTGCAGTGCCTGTTCTGCTCTCTGTGGCTTGTGGCCGTGCGCTCAGGGAGCTAACCAGGAGCTCTGGAACGTGGGCATGATGCTGTGCAGGTGAGCGTTGTCCCTAGCGGAGTGTGAGAAAGGCAGTAGTGAGTGGAAGGAGAGCATATGATGCACTGACATGGGCAGTTTGCTGTGATGAACAATACTGAATCTGGAAATGAAGGTCTCTAGAAATACAGACACGCTCTGGAGTGAAGTATGGGTTCAATAACAGGCTGAAGAACCCAAGGCCAAGTGACAAATACAACTTCCAAATTCTGTTACTGATTCCATCTCAGTAGCTGGGGATTTCAACCTCCTGAACTGAATTTGAAGCCTTCCTAGAAATGGCTGATAGGCCTTATGGTCCTATGTTCTGTGGCACCAGAGGTCAAATGCAGTGAGGAGTCACCTAGACTGAATGAGCACATGGGCTGGGGCCCAGCTGGAGGCACCAAGCGCTCTGTGTCTCCAAAGAGCTCGCGCTGATCCGGCTCTCAGCACAGGCTTGCACGTGAGACGGGAATGGCTGTTGTCTTGACAGTGTCTATGAAGTTGCCCCTAACTGAAAATGCAGCAGCAGTGCAATTATTCAGAGGCAATAATTTAGGCTGGATATAAGGAAGAAATTCTTTACCATGAGGGTGGTGAAACACTGGAAGGGGTTGCCCAGAGAGGTAGTGGAGGCACCATCCCTGGAAACATTCAAGACCAGGTTGGACAGGGCTCTGAGCAACCTGATCTCGTTAGCGGTGTCCCTGCTCGCCATGGGGGGGTTGGACTGGATGACCTCTAGGGGTCCCTTCCAACCCAAAACTTTCTATGATTCTGTAAAGTACACAGCCTCAGAACAACCTCTGTCTCCTTTGCAGTACATGCTTTGGTTGTGAGCTGAAGGGAACCCTTCTGTTACATGGGATTCGGCATCAAATAATTTCACCCAATTTTGTACCTGTAGTGTGGGTGTTTAAATAGCTGCTTGTTTTTTTGGTCTGTGTAGAGCTAGTCCTTGGGGTTTAAGAATCGCCATCTAAAGCAGACTCGTCTGCTGTATTAGAAGGAGCCCTCCCTGAACTCTTGCTGAACGGACCCCATTCTCTGTGAAGAGAGCCAAATAACTGGCATGATGGTAGCTGCTACAGATGAATGCTTTCTTTACTTGGCCTAGGCTCCTTCTGGAGCTTGTAGAACAAATCAGATGCCTTGGAGGGAAGGCAGTTCAAATGAAACAACTAATTGCTTCTACAGGTACTTTCTTCTCTTAATTCATTTATAGAAAGCTCCAAGAGAGTAGTTCTAGCTAAATGCATAGCGCTAGGTGAGACCCAGGCTGCAGCAGAGATCAGCTTCCAAAGGCTCATACTGTTCTGCTGGAGATGTCCTAACACCATCTGGTTCGTTTCCATCAGTCCCAGAGGGTGATTCACACCACGGAGTTTATATTTGAACTGGGAACTTTACGTTCCGTGATGGGTTGTCCAAGTCACGAAAGGTGCTAACCTTCTTTGTTCTGTTTTTTTGTCAGGAAACAGCAAGTGCTTCTCCTGTGATTCTTCGGGTGGACCCAAAGGGCTTCTACTTGTACTGGACCCATCAGAATAAGGTAAGTGTGAAGACTTCACCGCTTGGTCTAAAAATAGTCAGTTCACATCTGTGCGAGATCAAAACACCTTAGGTGCTCGAGTTCTGCACTTGGGAGCAAACTGCCACGCTCATTCTACTTAACAGGAAACCCCCAAGAAAGAGTTTGGAAATGTGAGGGGGAATGTGCTGCAGAGGACTGCGCAGGGAGCAGTAGTGTTGGTAGCCCTGTTCCCCAGCATGCGAAAGGATTCTCCCAGCTGGTACAGTGGTGCCGTGGGAAAGATTGGCGAGAAGTGTGCTATTAAATGTGAGCGGCTCAGCTAACGTGTACCTCATGTGCGGCCTGGGCTGTAATTAACTGACTTGTAAGAATTTTAATTAAAAAAAAAAAAGTGGTGACCGTAGCGATGTAGAGACTACATCAGGTCTGGCGGGTGAGTTGTGCTCCTCTCAGGCCACGGTTGTACGTACGCACTGCCAGAGTAAACCACAGGATGCTGGTGCTGGAGAAGAGGCAGCAAATTTAGGAAAGAGAATTCAGTTCCTCGCTGCTGATGAGTAGAAACAAGGGGTGGAGAGATCTGGCTGACTGGAGGTGGAAGGCTGGGCTTACTTCTGCTTTCCAGAGCAGAGCTGTGGTTCAGCTCTACTTCCTCCTCGTGACCTACATGCTGGAGAGGCATGGTAGATAAAGAGACAGAGACAGTAGTTTTGCGTGGCACCCTGGCCAAGAGACCTGATGTGTTTTGGTGAGCTCTGCCTTTTCAGAAGGTTGTGCCCCGGTGCCAGCTGGGGCGAGGCGCTGCCACACAGCCGTATCCTCCGAGAACAGCGTCGTGAGGCTGGGGACAGTCACATCCCTGTAGGCGATGGGCTCTCCTTTCAGCCATCTCTGTCGCTCTCGTGCCGTTTTCACAGTCTGCTCCTGGCGAGCTGTTGTCACCCATCGAAAGTGAGACGTTGCACTGGGTTCGTGGTCTGAGGGACTTGGTTACCTGGGAAAGGGGCTGGGGGAAGGAAGCATAGCTGACATGAGGAAACTCAGGCAGGGCAAGAGTCTTGTCTTCCTGGATAGTGCCATTGGTTAGCACCTAAAATAGACTATAAACACATTTGAGAGCCGCAGGGGAGTAACAGCCTGTTTTACATCCTTGGGGAAGTGCTTGTCTGGCATCTTTCCTATTCTCTGAGAGAATCTGCAGTGTCAGCTAGCCAGGAGGGTGGTGGGCAGATGCTGGTGGTCAGAGGGAGCTGGGGCAGGCTTGTAAAGGTCGTGCACAGGCTGGCTTGAGCACAGCGACCAGGGACAAGAGGTGGGCTGATAATGGAGCATGGTGTGGTATAGTCAATAGGTAGTCTGTTGAGTTCGTGTAGCTTATTGATCTTTGGCTGACTCCTCTGAAGATCTGCTTGTCATAAACAGCAAGGAAGAAAAACTGCACCGCTTTTGCACTAGGGATTCAGAAAGAAGTGGGATTGGGAGTAAAATTTCCATCCTGCTTGACGATAAAGTGGGGATACAGCCAGAAGACATGGTATCCACATTGTTCCTTATTGTGATCGTGGAAAATAGTATTATCTGCTGCAACAAGCATAATTTGTTCTCCAGATCCATGGTGAGTGGACAGATTAGGAACAGAGGAAGGAAATTCAGGTTGGATATAAAAAGAACAATCGAAATAAGCAGGACAGCTAGCCAGTAGTGAGGACGTGGAGTGGGCTGCCTAGGAAAGGCTGGGGAATGTCCTCCGGGGGAATTGCTTCAGAACAGATTAGGTGACGGTCTGTGGGGAGTGACCTGGGAAGAGGTGGTCCTGCCTGCCTTCCAGCTCAGCTGCTCCGTGTTGAATGCGTGGAGGCCGAAGGCAGGCTGAGAACGAGTGGGTTGTATTGACATAAGGGCTGTAACGGGGGTGGAGTTTCCCCATATAAAGCTGTACGCATGGCCTACACTCCCCCTCCCAGTAATCCACGCGGAGCCTCCAGCCGCACCCTGAAGAGGACGGTGCTGCAGACCACGGCCGCCTCCGCACCAGCCACACT